TCGGGCTGGGGACCCCTTCTCTAGTTCTGAATCCTACTCCCTGAGTTGTGACTGCAGCCTATACCCAGATCCCTTGAATCTCCAGACCTCACCCCAGACTCTGAACCCCTTTTGGATACCAGGCTCCACCCCACCAACTGAACTCCCAATCCACAGTGGGACCCCAGTCCACGCGGAGAGCTCTGTCAAGCCTGGAACCCCTTGCCTCCCAGATTAGGGGAAAACCCCTGCCTAACCCTGTGAACCCCTGCTGCATATACATCAGACGCCAGGCATACCCAGCACATCTGAACCCCCATCTGTCTGCCACGACCCACTCAGAGCTGGGGTCTCAGCCCAGGACCTGAACTCTGTTCCACAGCCTCATCTGTGGCCCTGACAGATTCCCATGCAAACATCTGGACTTCAGTCCTCAACCAGGACCCTACCCCAGAGTTCAAAAGCCTCTTTCCACCATGGCTTCTCTCTCCTCCTCTGCAGACCCCCCACCCTGTTTCCCCTTGCCCTCCCTCCTGTATTGGAGGTCCTCTAGTCTTTGCCGGCTGGTTTCACCCTCTCCTCTTGTTTCTCTCCAGGTGTGGTGGTGGTCCCGCTTTATTCTCTGGCTTCTCTGAGTCTTTCTGTGCATTTTCTCTCTCTGCCTGTTTCTCCCATTTGTTCTCTTTTGCTTGCATGCCTACCTCTCTTGAATGTCCATCACTCCCCTCAATTTTTCCAGGTCTTTATCTTTGTCCTAGAGTGTCTTCCTGTGGTCATCCCTTCCCCTTCTATCTGCCTCTGCTGCTGGGTGAGGAGGGGGCAAGCTCAGAGCACCAGGCTAGTGTCTGCAGGGCCTCCACCTTTCCCCATGTTGTTGGGCATGGTATGGTCTGGGCGCTGGTGGAAGGGACTAAACATGGAGAGCACAGCTCTTGCGTAGTGCCCAGGAACCTAAGGCGGGTAGGGATTGTGCAGCAGGGTACTGGGGTTTGTAACTTACATGCCCCTCATCCCTGCTGTCTAGCCTGACCCTGCTGTCTGGTCTGACCAGACTGGGGAGGGGAGGAGTGGCCTGCAATCTGGGGTCAGTTACCCATGGTGGGAGGTGTCCACAGCTGCGTGAAGCTGGGTGCATGTGTGTAGGATGGGCTGGACTTCATGTGCTGGTTATGCCTGTGTCTGATCATGTGTGGTGGGCTCATCACGACTGGGGTTATTTGGGGGAGATTTACAGGGGTTTATGGTGAGTGTGAGGATTATGAGTGTGTGGCGTTGCATGCCTTGTATGGCTAGTGAGGCTGTGTTGTGGGTGTGAAGTGGTAGCTCTATGTATGACTGTTTTTGCAGGGGGACTTGTATGTCTGTGGTGGTATGTCTGGCATTGTGGGGCAGAGTTGTCATTGGGGCAGTTTGCATGGGGGATTGTGTGTATGGTTGTATATGTTATCGGCTGTGTGTGTAGCCAGAAAGACCCACTGAAGGGGCTGATGAAAGCTTTCATTGCATGTCTTGGCAGATGTGGGTGGGAGTGGGGCAGCTGTGTGTGCCCAGTGGGTTTGCCACCTAGATGACTGGCTTAGAGTCACTGTCGTACATCCTGGGTCTGCTTGGGAAATACATTAGGGTCTGAGTGTTGGTGTTTGAGTTTCATGTGTCTGTGTGGTGGCTGTTTGTATAGCTCTGGGTAGGAAAGAGGGCAACAGCCAAGGAGTTCAAGGGAGGGAGCTGGGGAGCTGGTTGTGTGTGTGTGTGTGTGTGTGTGTGTGTGTGTGTGTGTGTGTGTTATGCCCCCTGTGTACATGCTGAGGGGCTGTATGTGCCTACAGATGTGCGGTATTTTGGTGTGACACTAGGTGTGCACATTCTCTATGCAGGATTTATCCCTATGTCTGGGTAGCATGTGTGTTGAATTTAATTGGATGTGTGTGTCTGTGGATGTGGTTGGGGAGGGTGTGTGAGGTGCATGGGGGAGGTTGAGTTTGAGCGTGGTGTGAAGTGTGGGTGTATGAGCTGTGTGACTTTTGGTGTGACATGTGGACTGTGTGATCTTTTCTCCATGTGAGCTGTTTATGTGTGTGATAGAGAGTGTGTTAGGGGTGCCCAGTGAGCTAAGGGTTGGGGGGTGGCAGTGCTGAGGGCTGTGGAAGGTGCTGCAGGGGGTAAGGGAGTGTGTGCATAAGGTGTATGGGTGAGGAAGCAGTATGTGATGTTTTGGGTGTGTGGAGTACAGCAGGTGTCCCATAAATGTTTGTGAAGTGACATGTGTGTGTGCAGGGTGGGCCTGGTTGCCATCCTGTCCTTGCTTCCCTCCCAGTTAGGTCCCCAGAGATGCCCAGTGACGTTCTTGTGTGGCCCCCCAAGCCAGGCTGCCTCTGCCCTTTGCCCTTCATCCCCCTCACTTTGACCAAGGCCTTTGTTTTGGGTTTCCGGCTAAGCAGGCGCTGGACAGGCAGGCGGCAGTGATGTCGTGGTCTGAGAACCTTTGTTCTTTTCCTCTTAGCCTGTCTCATGTTTTGGGCCGGGATTTTGGAGGCGGGTGGGGAAAGGATGCACGTGTCACAGGGTCACTGTGTTTACTACCACCTCACAGTGCTCTGCAGAGGCAGATGTCCAAGCACCGTCAGTGAGGCCTGGAGGGTATCCCCGGAGGTACCTCCTTGGCACAAGAGCAGTTTGGGCCGGGCTTGGAGTTGGGCGAGTTTGCCAATCATGAGGCCTCAGTCCTGTGGGTGGCCCAGTGCTCCTCCTGGCTCATGTCATCCCCAGGGTGCTAAACAGCCAAGCACCCCCTTCTGCATGCTGTCCTGTCCTCTTCCCCACTCTGTGACCTCCTGAAAGGGTCCCTGGACTGGAAACAGCCAAGGAGACCTCAGTCTATGTCCACTTTTATTGACCCCCATATCTGATGGGAGGAATAGTCCCGTCCTCACAGAGACCCTTATCTGAAAAAGAAGGCCTGGTCACAATTCTGGGGACCCTCTGGTCTGATGGGGGAGATCCCAGTCAATAGGACATTCCAGGTCATAACCTCCAGAGGAAGCTATGGGGAAACTTTATTAGGCGGTCTGCCAACAGGTATTTGAAAGCATGTAAGGTCAGCACTCCTTACAGTTGGAAGGCACAGAAACTATCAGAGTCAGTCAGGGGAAGGGGTTGGGGGTCAATGCCTCAGCATGACATTCCAGAAGGTTCTCTGAAGTGAGTGGGCTTGAGCTGGGCCTTGAAGGGGATATTGGATGTGCAGAGAAATATGGCCTGGGGCTGAGGAAGATTCTGGTCCAGTTGAAATAAAAAGATTTCTTGAAGGCATCTGATCATTTCCAAGTAGTCTGTCTGGCTTTGCATGACCATCCATGGGCCTCCAGCCTTCTCAAGCTTTCATGTCACCTTTTCCCTCCCATCATCTTTGGCTGAAATCACTGTATCGCCATCATCATCTTTTAGGCAACTCTTTCCATATTCCAGCTCCTTTCACAAATGTCATGTTTAACAGATTAACTCATTACGTTGTCGAAAACCATATATTGAACACTGCTATGCACGAGGCAGGCACAGTTGAAGGGCTCGGGTCAGAGCGGTGATTGAACAGGCTTCACAGGCCTCCCACCTTCTGTGTCTGAGAGACCACCCTGTCTTCCCAGCCCAGCACACAGTCACATTGTTGGCCCCCCGGGCCTTGGGCGGGTGATCCTCCTTTCCATTTCCTCAGCCTGATGTGTGCCTGATTCTGTGAGGCTCCAGGTGTGTATCCCATGGTGTGAGGGTCTGGCTCTAAAGAAATGCAAGCTCTTCGGAGGCTGGACTGGGTCTGTCCATTCCATGAGTCTTGAGCTGGGCTCAGCATGGTCCAGGTGCTGATATGGATCATCAGATGTCCATAACTCACTGTATGGTGGACAGCCCAGCTTGGCAATCTGCGGAAACTGAGGCCCAGAGCAGGAAGGAGACTTTAGACCCTCCTTTCACCAAAGTTGCCAGAGACCAGAGAGGTGGTTCATCTAGGTTTCACAGCATGATGGCAGGGTTGGTCCCAGAATACAGCTCTACTGGCCACCAGGCTGGACTCCAGCCCCAGTACCATGCTGCTCCCTGGCTGGCCTCTGTGCTGCCTGTGGCGGGTAAATGATTATTAATGACCCCCGTGGCAAGGAGACAGGAAACGTTTCCCAGCCACAGCTGGGGACCTGCTCCCTGCCAGCCTTAGCCGTCCATACCCGCCCTGACCATGGTGTCAGCACTGATGTTATCTCCTTTCTGCTGGGCCTTCGGCGCTCCCCCTGCCCACCCACCTCCCACCTCCCTTTCCTCTCAGGGGTAGAGGACAGGAGGGCACAGAGCTTTCTGTCCCACATCTTTGTCTTCACCACTTTCTCCAACCTGATTCATCTTCACCTTCTTCCTTGCCCCACACAAACCAGACTCCTCTAGGAAGCCTTCCCTGAATGCACTGCCAGCCCCTCCAGGGGCCCTGTCCTGGGCCCTGGACACTGAATCTCCCTTATTACAGATTCTGGTCCCATTCAGACAGTTTGTTCTGATGGCACTAAGGCGGGGCTGGGGACTTTTTGTGGCTTTTCCTCAATTGCTGTCTTAGGACTGATACATGTAGGATCCTCCCAGATGCCTCTTCCAGGAAGTCCCCAGCCCAACAGGGACTCTCACTTCCTCTGAGCACCCCAGCCGTGCCT